TTTAAGATTTTTTATAATTTTGAACTTTTTTCTGCCTTGTCTAGCTCTAATGTATTTATTTTTTTATTCTTTGTAGCACTGAATATGAAGACGGTCGTCCCTGAAACTAAATAAAGATGTTCATCAAAGCCTTCGTTATCATTTTCATATATATGTGTGTATGTGTGTGTGTGTGTATAAATATATATATATATATATATATATATATATATATATATATATATATTTATTTATATTAGAGAGTGAGAGAGAGGAAGAAAACGAGAGAGAGATACAGATAGGCTGATAGGTAGATATACACATGTATTTATCAATATATTGCTATATCTTTCTCTTTGTATATCTTGCTGACTATCAATATATGGAGGTAAATGATCACATGGATCATTAAGTTATTTATCTTTCTATTTTATCTCTGCCTGCATAGTCTTGACTCTTCGTATACTCTGTATCTCAACATTCAGATATGCTATCGTCTGTCTATCTATCGTTTTATAATCTTATGCATATATATTACTTAAATCTTGGATAGAACCTATCTATTTAGCCACTGCCTTGTTTATACGTTTTCTGTTTATTTTGTTATATATTTACTTTACGTACATCCATATAGCCTATCTATCTATCTATTCATATATTTTTTTCTCTCTTGTTTTACGAGAAAGAAGGATGAGAAGAATAAACAGCGGATGATTAGAGGTAATGTGAAATAAAGACAAGTAACAGAGGAGATTAGGAACATGTAGAGGAAATCGATAAAACAGAAGAGAAGCATACATATGAATAATTAAGAAAGGAAATCAAGAAAATCAAATATCAAAATAAAAAGGTGCAAAAAAGAAATCAAAGATAATCATATAACAAAATGAGGAGGTACAGAAAGAAATTGAGCCAAAGTGAATAGGAAATAAGAGAAATTAAGGAAAATCAAATACCAAAATAGGCAAAGAAAGTACATAAGATACGATAGGAAAAAAACAAATATGGAAGAGAGAGGGAAGATACCGCGAAAAAGGACAGACCATGAAAATACAATCAACTGAGCGAATAATATTATGCTAATTAATGCAAATGCTTCCCGCAAGAACAGCATTTCCCTTGCGGTCAACATATGTGATATTATGAATAAGAAAAAAAGGGTATCTTATCTGCTTGTGTGCATTCAGAAACGAGGCTTATCAGCGCGTTGTCGAGGTTATACATTTTGGGAATTAGTGGGGGTTCTATGTGTTTTATGAGGTGGGTGGGGCTGGGGTAAGATAGGCTGGGCGGTATTTTGGTTGTGTGTGTCTATGCGGTCTCTCATAGACAGAGGCATATTTAAAGAAATACAAGCATATATTTGAAATACTGAACATAGCTTAATACCTCAGATATGGACACATGTTCACTAGGATGCAAACATATCCACATACACACATACACACATGCACCTTTTTTCTCCCTCTCTCTCTTTCTCTCTCTTTCTCTCTCTCTCTCTCTCTGTCTCTCTCTGTCTCTCTCTCTCTCTTTCTCTCTCTCACTCGCTCACTCACTCTCATACTCACACACTATCTCACACAAACCTACACATACACACACATAAACAAACATGGGTACCATGACCGTATGTATAGAGTACGACAGATACACACACTCTCAAATACGTACATATACATGTCACGTATAATTTACAATACTCACGCAAATACATCCACAAACACACGTGCACACACAAAAAAGATAATGTATGTGTGCGTATGTATGTCTACATATGGCTGCCTTGAATTAACGCAATAAGCTTAATAATAACTTAAATTCTCCAAAACTCCCTGGCGGTGTTTAGAAACTATAAACTTTTTTATAACATTTTATTTGTGCGATGTTTTTTGCATTAGGTTTTGAGTTGCTGTTCCTGTGATATATATATATAAATATATATATATGTATATATATATATATATATATATATATATATATATATATATATTGCTTTATCTATCTGTCGATACATTTATGCTTGTGTTATTTTGTTATCATCATTAATATTAATAAAAGATTGTTATAACTACTACGACTATTGTTTTATTATTATTATTTGACAGTAATAATAACAATAATTCTGGTAACATTAAGAAGTAATAATAATGATAATAGCAATAATAATAATAATGATAATAATAATAATAACTAGAAAAGCACTCAGAGAGTGCAGACCTCCGCCAAGGTACTATATATTATATATACATTGGTTGAGGATGAAAAGGATCAGACAGCCCGGAGTTTCATAATTATCGCTCGGATGTACTTGCACCGCTACTGCATCCACAGTAACACCCGGGACACGGCCAAGTCCAAAAATATCATGATTATCTTTCGGATGTACTTACACCGCTGCTGCGTCCAGACGGTAATTCGGAATGTCACCAAAATTTAATCAGTTCTAAGTTAGTCCTTTTCTGACTTGTCCCCAAAATTTGGCCAGTACTTTTTGAGCTATGCTGCTAACAAACAAACAAACCAACAAACCAATAAACCAACGCCGTCAAAAACATAACCTCCTTGGTGGAGGTAATAATAATAATAATAGTTATAATAATAATAATAACAATAATAATAATAATAACAATAATAATATTAATAATGGTAATAATAATAATAATAATAATAATAACAATAATGATAATAATAATAATAATAATAATATTAACAATATGATAATAATGATAACGATAACAATGGTAATATTGCAGTGATGATGATAGTAATAATAATGATAACCATGACGATAGTAATAATAATATTGATGATGATAATAATATGATAATGATAATAATAATAATAAATGTTAATGTAGTTTTAGTAGAAATGATATCAATAATGATACTGATAATAATAGTAATAATAGTAATGACAATAATGATGATAAAATAGTAATGATAATGATGATGATAATAATAGTAGTAGTCATGATAATGATGATGATGATAATAATACTAATAATAACGAGGATTGCGACGGCAAGGATATCAATAATAATGAAGGTAAGATCAGTAAGAGTAATGATAATAATGATAACAATAACCATGATAACAGTAACAATTGTGATAATAATGATAATCACAATCATAATGAAATTTATGACAATAATAATAATAATAATAATAATAATAATATTAATAACAACAATAATAATAATAGTAATAACAATAATAATAATAATAATAGTAATAATAATAATAATAATGAAAATAATAATAGGGCTAATAGTGATAATAATAAGACTAACAATAACAATAACAGTAATAAAAGTAAGAATGATAATATTAATAACATCTATAATATTAACCCTTCTCAATAAACAAACACAATAAATAGATAGATACTACCCCCCCCCCCCACTGTCTCCTCCCTCTTAATCCGCGTCTGAAGATCCTACTCTATCTATCTACCCCCTCCCCCCCCTCCCCACCTCCGTCCGTATAGTTCCAAGGTCAGCATGTTTATTTTGGACTCTTAACCTTACAGCTCAAGGTCTTCCTTGGTGTACCCTATACCCCTCCTCCCTCCTCCCTCCTCCCTCCCCCCTCCCTCTCATGAACCCTCTCACTCACGTCATAAGTCTCCACCCCCCCCCTCTCCCACCCCTACTTCCACCCCACGTCCCACTCTTCAACAGATTCCTATTACATATACCCCTCTCATCCCTCTCCCCCCCCCACTCCCCCCAACCCCTCGTCTTAAGATGCCCCCTGCCCCTATCCTGTCCCAACTCGCCCCCTGCCCCTATCCCCTCCTAACTCGCCCCCTGCCCCTATCCCCTCCTAACTCGCCCCCTGCCCCTATCCCCTCCCAATCGCCCCCTGCCCCTATCCCCTCCCAATCGCCCCCTGCCCCTATCCCCTCCCAACTCGCCCCCTGTCCCTACCCCCCCCAACTCGCCCCCTGCCCCTGTCTCCTCCCATCTCGCCCCCTGTTCCTATCCCCCCCAACCTGCCCCTGCCCCTATCCCTCCCAACTCGCCCCCTATCCCTATCCCCTCCCAACTCGCCCCCTATCCCTATCCCCCCAACCCGCCCGCTGCCCCTACCCCTTCCCACTTTTCCGTCACCCCCACCTTCCTCCCCCAATAAATTTTAAAGATCGACCTACCTTAGTTCCCACCCCTCCCTCCCCTCCTCCCTCAACAGATACCCCCTCCCTCCCTCCCTCCCTCCACAGATACCCCCTCCC